TCTCAAGCAAAATTGGATCATAGACACAGGAGCCTCAAATCATATGACTTCCCAACTTGATGCTCTTACTTCTTGTCAGTCCATTCCCAGTTCAGAGAAGTGAAAAGTCCAATTACCTACTGGAAATGTAGTTTCTGTATCACATAAAGGAACCTCCTCAGTTCTTAGAAATAACAACATTTCCAATGTGTTGTACATTCCAGAATTTAAATACAACCTGCTCTCAGTATCTCAACTCACCAAAGAACTACAATGCATGGTTGGATTCTTCCCTGACTTCTGTATTTTCCAAGATCTCTACAGTGTTAAGGTGAAGGGGATTGGTAAGGAGGAGCATGACTTGTACATACTTCAAGGAGGACTTTCACAGGATTCTACAGCAACATCAACCAATAAGTGTGCTCACTCAGCTAGCTTAACTGATTCTGTAGAAGTGTGGCATAGGAGACTAGGACATGCTCCTATTGATGTAATAAGGAAGTTAGATGCTCTTAGTACCCTAAGGAAAGGAACTCAATACTGCCCTGTGTGTCCAATTTCTAAACAGTCCAAACTACCTTTTCATCTAAGTACCTCAGTGTCTAATGCTGCATTTGACTTAGTGCACTGTGATATCTGGGGGCCGTATAGAGTTCCCTCACATAGTGGTAAGAGGTACTTTGTTACAGTAGTTGATGACTATACCAGATACACTTGGATTTTCTTGCTCAACTTCAAGTCAGAAGTTATAGTTGTACTAAGAGACTTTCTAACACAAATAAAGAATATGTTTTCAGCCTCCATAAAAGTCTTAAGGACTGATAATGGTAGTGAGTTCTTTAGTAATGAGTTTAAACAATTGCTTTCTAATCTTGGTATATTTCATCAGAGTTCATGTGTTTACACACCTCAACAAAATGGAATTGCTGAGAGAAAACACAGAACAATTTTAGACATGGCCAGGTCTCTTAGATTTCAAGCAACTATACCTCTTAGGTTTTGGGGTGAGTGTGTTACCACAGCAGTCTACCTCATCAACAGACTGCCCTATAGAACCCTTGGGTACAAATCACCATTTGAGATGCTCTAATTACATTCTCCTTCTCTGCAACACTTAAGAGTGTTTGGTTGTCTGTGCTATGCAGCATGTCCCAGCATTGTTGACAAGTTCTCACCAAGAGTTGTCCCTGCAGTATTCCTGGGTTATTCTTCTTCTCAAAAGAGCTATGTCTTGTATGATTTGAATGCTAAGTCTTTCTTTGTTAATAAATGTTGTGCTTCAGGAGGGTATTTTTCCTTTCAAGCATGTGTCCTCTTCAGGTAGTACTACTTTTCCTATACTGGATCTACTATCCTCAACTAGTCCAGATCACAAGCTTCCTGTTACAGATTCCTCTCCTGAAGCTAGTCCCCTTTCACCTGAGTTCAACACTACATCTGAAGGGGACTCCTCTTCTAATCCTGAAGATAGTGTCACAGATATTGTAGCACTAGAGGTTCCTTCACCTGCTACTTCTCTTGAGGGTGATCCTGATACTGCAGCACCTGGTACAGTGACTGCCCCACCTGATGTTGCTCCTATTCAGGTCAGAAAATCATCCAAGACTAGCAAACCTCCCATTTGGATGCAAGACTATGTAGTGCAATCACATGCTGCACAGTGTCCCTATCCTATCTCTACTTATGTCAGTTATTCCCATATCACTCCCTCCTATAGTAGAGTATTGACTGCCTATTCAGCTGGTTCTGAACCTCAATCCTTTGTTGAGGCAGTTGCAGATCCTCAATGGGTAGAGGCTATGAGGTTGGAGATAGCAGCATTAGAGGAGAACAAAACCTGGAGTACAGTTGATTTACCTCCTGGCAAAACTCCTATTGGTTGCAGCTGGATATTCAAAATCAAGTATAAGGCCTCAGGAGAAGTTGAAAGATACAAGGCCAGACTGGTTGCCAAGGGTTACAGTCAAAAGGAAGGTTTAGACTATGGTGAAACCTTCTCTCCTGTGGCAAAAATGGTCACAGTGCAGGTCCTGAGCCAGTATATGCACTGTCCCAAGGTGTCACACATGGAAGCTGCCCTCAGAGTAGTCAGATACATCAAACAAGTACCAGGCCTGGGGTTGTTTATGCCTGCAGAAAGTGCAGACAAGCTTATTGCCTATTGTGACTCTGATTGGGGATCTTGTATAGAGTCGAGGAGATCAGTAACTTGATACTTGGTCAAGTTTGGAAATGCACTGGTGTCTTGGAAATCAAAGAAGCAAATGGCTGTGTCCAGAAGTTCAGTTGAGGCAGAATTCAGGAGTATGGCTTCATGTGCAGCAGAGGTCACTTGGATGATAGGGCTATTCAAGGAGCTTGGAGTGAAGATTCAACAACCTATAAGTTTGATATGTGTCAACAAGGCTGCTATACAAATAGCAGCTAACCCCATCTTCCATGAAAGAACTAAATATATTGATATTGATTATCATTTTGTTAGGAAAAAAATTTGTGAAGGATTGCTGAAGACACAGTATGTGCATACTAAAGACCAGCTAGCAGATCTGCTTACAAAGAGTTTGGGGAAGTATCAACATGATCAACTGCTGAATCAGTTAGGAGTGAAGAATGTGTATAAACCATCAGCTTGAGGAGGAGTGTTGACTAGAGTTAGCTAACCAAGCTGATAAGTTAATTATGTAACTATAGTTAGTTAGTTAGTTAGTTATGTAACTGTAGCTATAAAAGATAGACTGCACACTCTGTAAAATACACGCTTGTATCATTTTAGTTTTCTTCTTCTAATACAGACATCAGTTTCTCTCGAGTTGTGGGTTTCATTTGCATATCGTCATCCTTGAGCTTGATCTCCAGATTCATGGCAGCTAACAGTTTTCATACCAAATAATGATGTCTTATAATTCGTCATCCCATTGATCGATGCCCTCTAGAGTCATCCATGTTTCACTGCTTCTCATTCAATATTACTGACCACACAATATTAATAAGAAGTTTCAAGGTCTTAAGTATTAGTAAAAAATTAGCAAATGCCTTCCCTTAAATGAATTAATTGGATCACACCATGTCTGCTGGCGAAATGCTTTCTTGGTTTGGGATCTTCCACTAACTAATATCCAAGTGACCCCACCATCATTACAGACTTGGACTATAACCAATACGACTGACTTCTCACTTTCCATAAAATTTCATCAGCTTCATGCACTTTTGATATACTCTATAGTAGAAGCAATTTTTAATTTTCTTTCTCGGCTGGATGGTTGTTAGGGTAGCAGCCCTCCACTGTGTCTGTGTGATGATAATAAATCCACACTTGTGGTTAAAGGGCCAAACCAAAACTTTCTTTGCTTATTAAGGGAAAAACAAAATAGGAAAAATGACGAGGCGGAGCCACATGGTCATAAGGGTGGTCATTTGATTACTTTTCGTCGAAAAATTATAATATATGTATATATGTGTGTGTGTACAATATTACGTTTTAGAGGTATATAACACATATTGAACATCATTTGTCGGAAATTTTTTTCACTTCGTTTAAATTTGAATACCCTTGGAGAAATTCTTAATTTCACCACTAGCTATATATAGAATTCTTGGTTTTGGCACTGACTGTATAGACGCTGTAAAAATGATCGTCGAAAAAATTTATAAAATTTGTATATTCTTTATATATACATTCGGTAAGTTATATATAAAAATTATACGAATTTTATATGTTTTTTGGCTATCAAATATAAATAGTTTCTGGCGTGGACTAATAATGATAATACCCCGAAAAATATAGTAACCTTAAAGATGCAAAACAAAACAAAAAAAGGACACTTATGGTTGTTGACACGGTTTGTTTTATATTTCAAGAGTACTTTATTTCGTTGTTATAGTGTGAAATCGAACACTTTACAAATTAGAATAATATAATACGACAATAGCGAATAATTTAAGTATTCCGATTTATGTAGGAGAGAATTATTTAAGAGTATGATGTACGTCAAAATATATTTAAAGTCAACGATCACAAGTCTCAAAGTCTAGGTAATTTCGTGCCAACTCTTACAAAGTTTCGTTTCTCATGTAACAAACATGGAACGAAAAAAATGTCTTTTTCCTCCTAGTCTTGACCCTCTATTACACATTTCTGAAAAAACGAAGAAACATTGATGGGTGCATTTTTCTTCAAAATTCATATATATATATATATACATATATATATAAAACTCTTCGGGTCCTTTTTTCTGTTTGGTTCATTAGAAATTTTCATACACATGAGTGCTCGGTGCACTAAGCTCCAGCTATGTGCGAGGTTCGGAGAAGAGCCGGACCACAAGGGTCTATCGTACGCAGTCTTACCCTGCATTTCTGCAAGAGGTTGTTTTCACGGCTCGAACCCGTTTGTTGGCTGAAAAAGTGGCTTTTCAGCAACAAATAGCTCTTAAACCAAAAAGCAACAAGTTGGGGTTGCCCAACTTATTACTTTTGACTTGTTTTAAGCAGTTTTTAACTTATTTTAAGCACTTTTTAACTTTGTCAAACATTGGAAAAAAACTAAAAAGAGTTTAAAAGCTGAATTAAAAGCCAATCCAAACACTCTCGGCTTACAAAATTATTGAATATCTATTAATTTAGAACCCAATAATTTAGAAAGACTAGAATTTCAAATCTATAAAATTCAAATCCTAGCTCAGCTTATGTGTTTTTGTTAATGGGTGAAACTTCACTGAATTATTTCCAATTAGTGGATTGTGGGGAACCTTCTTTTCTGAAATAAAAAAAATTTCCTGTCTTTTTGTGGGGTACCTTATTATTTTATTCAAAGTAGTAATAGTAGTTTCACACCCTGCTGAAAGTACTGAATAACTTAAAAATACTTTCCTGGAAGACCAAAGACAACTGAAACAAAGTTTCGAGGAAAAATGTACTAGATTTTTCTTTCAGAAAATGACGATAACAGATTTTAAAATAAAGAAAAATAATTGAAAACTACTACTCAATAATATATACTTGTAGTACTATAAATACAGCTTATTTGTGGAACCATATACTCCACCATTAAATCAACTAACAAACACATTCAGTTCTCTTTCAAATCACCAAAAGTACCAACAATTCAATGGAAGGTACAAACTTGAATGCATATGCATTCGTATTCCTTGGTACTCTGTTTCTTTTGCTCCTTTCCAAATTTCTTCGCCAAAGAAAACTCAATTTACCTCCAGGCCCAAAACCATGGCCGATCATCGGAAACTTAAACCTTATCGGAAACCTTCCTCACCGCTCAATCCATGAACTCTCCCTCAAATACGGACCCATTATGCAACTCCAATTCGGGTCTTTCCCCGTTGTAGTTGGATCCTCCGTCGAAATGGCTAAGATTTTCCTCAAATCCATGGATATTAACTTTGTAGGCAGACCGAAAACGGCCGCCGGAAAATACACAACGTATAATTATTCGGATATTACATGGTCTCCATACGGACCATATTGGCGTCAGGCACGTAGAATGTGCCTGATGGAATTATTCAGCCCGAAACGTCTCGATTCATACGAGTATATTCGGGCTGAGGAGTTACATTCTCTGCTCCATGATTTGAATAAAATATCAGGGAAACCAATTGTGCTGAAAGATTATTTGACGACGTTGAGTTTAAATGTTATTAGCAGGATGGTACTGGGGAAAAGGTATTTGGACGAATCCGAGAACTCGATCGTGAGTCCTGAGGAATTTAAGAAGATGTTGGATGAATTGTTTTTGCTAAATGGTGTACTTAATATTGGAGATTCAATTCCATGGATTGATTTCATGGATTTACAAGGTTATGTTAAGAGGATGAAAGTAGTGAGCAAGAAATTCGACAAGTTTTTAGAGCATGTTATTGATGAGCATAACATTAGGAGAAATGGAGTGGAGAATTATGTTGCTAAGGATATGGTTGATGTTTTGTTGCAGCTTGCTGATGACCCGACCTTGGAAGTTAAGCTGGAGAGACATGGAGTCAAAGCATTCACTCAGGTATTGTAATAAAGAAAATTTCATATTTATCATAATCTCTTTAAGTTAGAACTATAAAAAATAATAGGAGTAATACCTTTTTTTTTTCCCCGATACTTAGGACCATAAATATGTGTCCATAATTTTTTGATTTTTTTCTTCAAAAATGTGTTTTTCCATGAAATTTCTCACTCATAAAACTGCAATCTTTTTTCAGGTGAAATGTATGTCCAAACACAAATTACGTATCATTTTTCAAACTTAACTCCAAATAATACTATCTCCGTTTACTTTTACTTGTCCATTATACTTAAAATACATTTTTACTTTTACTTGTCCTTTTAGCAAATCAAGAGAAAGACAATTTTTTTTTCTTGTTTTACCCTTATCATTAACTACTCATTCCCCAATTTATTTCTCAAGATTTTTTGAAATGCTATCATTATTAGGGGTTATGGAAAAATATATACTATAATTTTTTTTTAAGGGGCGCGAAAATTCCAAAATGGATAATTAAAAGTGAACGGATGGAGTATTTTTTTAAAATGCAATTTTTATGTTCAAACGTCTACGTAATAGCACGGAAAACTTAAAAAAGGTACTACATAGAGTATAGTTAAGAATAATTTTAATTAACCACAGACTACATCCCTGTTGCTCTGCTCCACTCTGGTCGACAGTACTTATGACTTCCTCCACCCAATTGAATAATGGACATTGACAAGATATTTTGGAACCTGAAATTTAGTTGGCTATGTATGGGTCTATCGTATTGGGAGAAAAAAAAAAAACAAGAAAAAGAATATACTCGTAATAATTGACCTGTTGATAATGTTACCCACTTTTCTGTCGAAGTAGAACGGACAATGGAGTGAATCAAACTGTAGATAAATTACAAGAAAAATTTAGAAAATAGAAAGTCAAGTTGGTCAGGATATTCGTATTTGTTTTTTTAATGCTTTTTTATAGTCGACGACAAGAATAAAATGTGTAATTGCACAATCAGGATATGCTTGCTGGTGGAACCGAGAGTTCAGCTGTAACAGTGGAGTGGGCAATTTCAGAGCTGCTAAAGAAGCCTGAGATTTTCAAAAAGGCTACAGAAGAATTGGATCGAGTAATTGGGCAGAAGAGATGGGTACAAGAAAAGGACATTCCAAATCTTCCTTACATAGGGTCAATAGTCAAAGAGACTATGCGACTGCACCCCGTGGCACCAATGCTGGTGCCACGTGAGTGTCAAGAAGACTGCAAGGTAGCAGGCTATGACGTTCAGAAAGGAACTAGGGTTCTTGTGAGCGTATGGACTATTGGAAGAGACCCTACATTATGGGACGAGCCTGAGGTGTTCAAGCCGGAGAGGTTCCATGAAAAGTCCATAGATGTTAAGGGACATGATTTTGAGCTTTTGCCATTTGGAGCTGGGAGAAGGATGTGCCCGGGTTATAGCTTGGGGCTTAAGGTGATTCAAGCTAGCTTAGCTAATCTTATACATGGATTTAAATGGTCATTGCCTGATAATATGACTCCTGACGACCTCAACATGGATGAGATTTTTGGGCTCTCCACACCTAAAAAATTTCCACTTGCTACTGTGATTGAGCCAAGACTTTCACCAAAACTTTACTCTGTTTGATTCAGCACTTCTATGGTTCCATCAAGATAGACTCTTTGTTATGTTTGAACTCGTGCTCTAAATATTTTGTAATGGTATCGTCTACTTATCCAACTTAAATCTTGTATCTTTTATTTTGCTTGAAAGTGGTTATAGTAGTGAACACAAAAGTATGTCGTAATGCAGTTATATTTTCAGAAATAATAACATTAGAGCGTTGTGTTTGTTCTGATGCTGTCTATGGAGAGATATTGCTATAGAGTATAGATAACCTTTTGCAGAAGTATTACTAAATTAGACTGTTTAAGCAAAGTATAACCTCTACGCATCACCGGCCCTCAAGACAGTAGTCTGGAAAATCCTGTTGTTTTTTCCCTGCCACAAGTTTATTGGAATAACTATTTTGACCCAGATGCCACATGTCTTCTTTTCATTGGTTAGTGTCTGTAAATTACATGCTCTCTACGAATACAGCTCATCGTGGAGCCATAAACTTATATACTCCATCATTGGAACAAACAACTCAATGGAAGGTACTATTTGAACTGCATATGCAGCAGTATTTCTTGGTACTGTGTTTCTCTTGGTGCTTTCAAAATTTCTTCGCAGAGGAAACTCAACGTACCTCCAGGCCCAAAACCATGGCCGATCAATGGAAATTTAAACCTCATAGGTAGGAGTGGCAAATGGGCGGGTCGAGTCTGATATGGTTCAAGTCGAAACGGGTAATGAAAAATGGACAAATTATCCAACCCAACCCATATTTAATACGGATAATAAACGGATCAACTAGCGGATAATATGGGTAACCATATTATGTAAAGATCCCTTTATATATCCGTGAATATAGAGCAACTTTCACTATTTCTAATAGCACATCTTGTATGGATTCAAATGAACCAACAAGCAGTGTCGTCAAAGGCACGCTTAAAGCGCGCTTAAACCTTGAAGCGAGGTTCAAAATTTGTTGAGCGCTTTGCCTCGCTTTGTGGGCGCTTTAGTATTGCATCAAGGCTCTAACGCATACTATTGCTTTCCAATGAGTGTAATCATGAAAAGGCGTAATTTTTTTCCAATTTCTTTGTTTATAAATTTGTTTTTATCATGCTTATAATTATTAATCTTGGACTACATATACATATTTTTACTTTTTCTCCAGTCGCGCCTTTTTTCATTAAGCCCGCACTTTATTTGTGCTTAAAGCACAGACCTTAGAGCTTTTCTGCGCTTTTAACCTCTGATAACACTGCCACAAGTAGAGTCTACTGCACCAATATTCAGTAACCATGACAATTCGAAGCTCTGAGCTTGGGAATGTCTACTGCACCAAAATGGGTCAATGGCAAGTCAAGAAACTTATCTTCGTAGATACTCCTGAAGAATGAGAACAATGTCAAGCTTTAAATTGTTTTTGGTCTTAAATGAATTTTGTACTTTAGCACTATATATACACCTGCGAGAGCTTGTATTATAAACATTTATGTGGTGATAAAATAGAATGAAATAATTGAGATAGCCGAATAAAACAAAAACTTATGAACTCTACCTAAACATATACTACCTAAAACAACAAATTTAGTATTTTGCAGACCTGTCAATCACTAATTAATTTGTCCGTTAAACATGGCTTACAGCCAACAATATTCTTCTGGATCTTCAATAGTTAGCTGCCAGATGATCTATGTGACGTTGCCTCTTCTGGTGAGGAATATCAAGAAATATGGATAACAATCAGTAGGGTATTCGTACTGTATTGTTTTATAATGTATCATATCGTATTGTATTATTTGGATAATTGTTACATATCGTTTCATAATGTGTCACACCGTATTGTTTTGTATTGTACTGTATCGTTTGATGAATACAATGTTTGGATGGATTATGTCATTTTGCTCGTTTCGTGGTATCACACACCGGTAATATGATGAATAAACTTGCAATATTATAAAGAAAAACTATGAGACGGTATATAAAAAGGTAGGATAAATGATAAAATAAAATTAATTTAATATTAATGAAGGGTAAGATTGAGAGAAAAACACAAGGAAACGACGCGACCACACCAAATCGGTCGTCATATAAAGTGGCACAATTTATCGTTACATAACGACGGATGTAACGATACGACACGATAAAATTTAAGTAACAATCAAAACAAATCTTATATTTAAAGTAACAATACTATACGATACAACAGGTAACAACCATCCAAACAAGCTGTTACATTCCGGTCTTAATTCTTTCTTGTTAGGTTTTCCGTTTAGTTCCGTTAGTTTGGTTAGCTTAGGGATAAAAAATGCACACTTTATTTAATTGAAGGTTTGATGTACTAAGTCAAATAACACAAGGATCAAAAGTGGAATATAGTAATAATACAAGGACCAAAATCACTATTTTTCCTTTACTTTTTGTCATAATACACCTGGATTGTTGGAGATTGGGAAGTGTTTGAAGTGACATTGGGTTGTGTTAGGATTGATAATTGTTTTATGTTTGATAAAAGGACAAAAAAGAAATGGGTTAGGTGGTAAGAAGTAAATTGAGCTAAAATTGAAAACCTAGAGCATCTCTGAGCAATTTTCTCAATTTTTTTTTTTACATCTTACGAATTTTTTTCTTAATTTAAAAATTGTAAAGGGACATGATGTACAAATATCACGAAAATAGTGATCCATTCGGATTCTTCTTGTTCATGTCCTCTTTTGGGCCTTATCTCCCTCTCATTAAAATAATGAGGAGAACTAAATAAAGAAGACAAAAGGAGTGCTAAGTACTCTCATTAAGATTGTTTATTTACAGAATCTGTCCTCTAGCACTAATGTAACAAAAAACTACAGATCACAGATCACAAAACAAGGAAAAACAATACAAAATGATCAATATAACTAATAAGCCAGCTATTATTCGTGTTGCTATATTATTCAAGCTTCTTTCCAACATTAATACAATAAATTTAAGCTTCTTTCCAATATTAATACTATAAATCTGAGGAGCCATTAACTCAACCATTGATTCACTATCAGTAATTCCAAATGGAAACTCCTACCTGGACTGCGTATGCAGCTGCATGTCTAGCTACACTGTCTCTTTTTCTCCTTACCAAATATCTCCGCCAAAGGAAACTTAACTTACCACCCGGCCCAAAACCATGGCCAATCATCGGAAACTTAACCTCATTGGCCCCCTCGCTCACCGCTCTGTCCACGAACTCTCCCTCAAGTATGGGCCCATTTTGCAACTCCGCTTCGGGTCTTTTTTTTGCCGTTGTGGTGGGCTTGTCTGCCGAGATGGCTAAGGTTTTCCTCAAATCAATGGATTTCAACTTTGTAGACAGGCCTAAAATGGCTGCTGGCAAGTACACCACATACAACTATTCCAATATCACTTGGTCCTCCTATGGACCCTATTGGCGCCAGGCACGTAAGATGTGCCTTATGGAATTGTTTACTGCAAAACGGCTCGAGTCACTTGAGTATATTAGGACAGAGGAGTTACAATCTCTCCTCCATGATTTGTATAACTTAACGGGAAAACCGATTCTGCTGAAAGATTATTTGATGAAAATCGAGATTATTAGCAGGATGGTGCTGGGAAAGAGGTACTTGGACGAGTCCAAGAACTCGATCGTGACTCCTGAGGAATTTAAGAAGATGTTGGATGAGCTGTTCTTGCTAAATGGTGTACTTAATATTGGAGATTATATCCCCTGGATTGATTTCATGGACTTGCAAGGTTATGTTAAGAGGATGAAGGTATTAAGCAACAAGTTTGACAGGTTTTTGGAGCATGTTCTCGACGAGCATAATGCTAGGAGAATTACGTTGCCAAAGACATGGTGGATGTTTTACTATAGTTTGCTGATGATCCCACTCTGGAGGTTAAACTAGAGAGACATGGAGTCAAGGCTTTCACCCAGGTATATATCACTTTAATTCACAACTCGTAGTGTCTTATCAATTTAAAACAAGAGAAAAATAATAGCACACAAAAATTAAAGTATTGCTCCCTTCGTTTCAATTAGTTTGACTCGACACGGAGTTTAAAAAAAACAGAAGAAAGACTTTTGAAACTTGTGGTCTTAAAAGCCTAAGGTCTAAAAGCTTTATGGGGCCATGACATTTGTGTAGTTATAAAAGCTTCTCATTAAGGGTAAAATGAAGAGTTTAAAGTTGAATTAATTCCATTAGTAGAAATGTGTCATTCTTTATGGAAAGAACTAATAAGGAAAGTATGTCATCTAAATTGAAACAGAGGGAGAGGGAGTAGTATTTATGAATAATCTTATTAACCAAGTACTAGATCCTTATTGCTTCTACCACTTGGGTGCCACTAATGATGATTTCCTCACTAGGACTAAAGGAAAATTTGCTAAGAATAATTTGGAACTTTATGGTTGACCCAGATTTAGTTGGTTAATGTCTATCCGCACGTCAATACATATAATAAAAGGCAGCCCGGTGCACTAAGCTCCCGCTATGCACGGGGTCCGGGAAAGGGTTGGACCACAAAGGTCCATAGTACGCAGTCTTACCCTGTATTTCTGCAAGAGGTTGTTTCCACGGCTTGAACCCGTGACCTCCTGGTCAGCAACTTTACCAGTTACGCCAAGGCTCCCCTTCCGTTAAAACATATAATGTATAACGAAATCGATGGCCAACTCCACTTTTTCTATGAAAGTTGGAGGGCTACGGGTCGAGAGAAAGTTAAAGTCATGGTCAAGTGTTTCTTTATTTTTTGGTGCTTGATGATACGAGTTAAATATGTATTGCACAATCAGGACTTGTTGGCTGGTGGAACCGAGAGTTCAGCAGTGATCGTGGAATGCACAAGGCAACAGAGGAATTGGATCGAGTGATTGGGCAGAACAGATGGGTACAAGAAAAGGACATTCCAAATCTTCCTTATATAGAGGCAATTGTTAAAGAGACTATGCGACTTCACCCGGTGGCACCAATGCTAACTCCACGGCTCTGTGGAGAAGACTGTAAAGTAGCCGGCTACGACATTCTGAAAGGAACCAGGGTCCTAGTAAGCGTATGGACGATCGCAAGAGACCCTACTTTGTGGGACGAGCCTGAGGCGTTCAAACCTGAGAGGTTTCTCGGAAATTCCATTGATGTCAAAGGACATAATTTTGAGCTACTGCCATTTGGAGCTGGGAGAAGGATGTGTCCGGGATACAACTTAGGGCTTAAGGTGATTCAAGCTAGCTTAGCTAATCTTCTACACGGATTTAAATGGTCATTGCCGGATAATATGACCCCTGAGGACCTCAACATGGAGGAAATTTTTGGCCTCTCCATACCAAAAAAGATTCCACTCGCTGCTGTGATTAAGCCAAGACTTGCACCAAATGTTTACTCTGCTTGATTTAGCACTAATTGTGGTTCCTTCAAGAAATTGTTTTTCTGTTTGAAATGGTGGGACATATCGCCACATCCGCTAAGGTTGCTCTAATGCTCTACATATTTTGTAATGAAATCGTCTATTAATCCAACTGAAATCTTGTATTCTATATTGAAGCAATTGGGCAATTTCAAAAGCCATGTTTAAATTGGATTTGCAGAAATGCTACTCGAAACATATATAGAGTCTAAAATTGGATAGTTAGGATGAAGAAAATAAATGATGGAGAGAGATAAGGAACTATATATCTGCTGTTTAGTAGGAGTCTCACAGACTAGATATGGAAAAATTAACAAGACTTGAGGCCAAAACAAGAGAGGGAGACATACTGTGCAATATTTGGATTTTGGAAAAACAAGTAATGGCAAAAAAAAAATGAAAATGGCATTTAAATCTAATAAGTAAAGGAAGAAAAAACATGCATATAACAGCAAACTAGACAGTCTGCAAGAAAAACAAAGCTAGAAAGCTAACAGCTGCTACTGTGATTTGGAGGTACACTGTACCAGAAGCTGAGCCAGGATTTGAAGCTTTTGATTTTGGGGATTCTAATCGTTTCAAGTTACTGAAATCTAAATTAAGATTCTGTACATATTTAATGGATTTTCTAAGACAAATACATCGTTTGAACCAAAGCTAGTGAATTGGGCCGAAGCCATAGCCGGCACTCTAGCTCCACCCACATCATATATTTTATTTCATAGAAACCACACTGCTTCAGGCCATTATCAACAGGTTCAGCAATAAAAATGTAAACTAACGCAGAAGATTAACAATGAGTATGCCTGACAATATCAATACAGAGGAAACACGTTTTATGTAGCCGTATGACACAAGATTATCTAGAGGAACTAAGTAAAATGTTCACTGACCAAACTAAATAGTCGGAAATAACAAGGATAAGTAAGGTTCACTAAAAATTCATCAATTGTCTCTGTCAAACCTACTGGGGTTTCTAGAATTTCAAGTGAGTTACAGTCTACGTATAATTATATCAAAATAAACAAAAAGCAATTCACACAATTACCTTGAGTTTGAGCGCTCTCTTTCATATATCCAAATGAGCACAGTCTAATGTCCATTGCTATTATCACAAGAGAGAACTGGTTGTCTGCACGTTGTTCCTCTGATGAAGACGAGAGTGGTTGTCCTAAATTTTGCTTTAGGTATTGTATAATATATTTAAAACCAAAAAAAAAAAAAAAACAGAAACAATTACATTAAGTTTTAGAGTTAACTAAACTATTTTAAATAATTTTATATTTTGCTTCTTTATACATAATCAGAAACAATTTTTATATTTCATGCTATAGGTGTTCACTAACTTTTATTCAAGAACAAACGAATTAAATGTTTCAAACTAAAATCATATGCTTAGGATGCTAAGTTACGAATCCGCCTTTACTGCTAGATCAAACAGAGCAACTTAGTCATCGAAAGAGAAAAAAACAGAATAATCCAGCAAAAATGACCAAAACAAGTTACCGTGGTAAATCCGTTTGAATAAACCTCTTAATAATTTTCACCATTTAAGATTTTGTAATAGACCTCAATTTTTCACGGTTTAGTAAAATGACCAAAACAAGCTTGCATGTTCCTTTTCTTTACTAGGTTAATGCATTGCCATTGGTCCGGACTCATAACCAGGGTATTTGCTAGGCAGTTTAGTGGTAATCAGGGGTGTCAAATTCAGCCCATCAAATGTACGTGCCCAGACTGCGCAGATATAATTTGACGTATTTATTGGCGGGTCATTTTGGACGTAGCCCACGTTTGTCCATCTAAGAATTTGGATCAATTTGGACTAAATATATTGACCAAATTGATCAATACAGAAATTAATCAAACATGGAAAAATAAGCATTCATGTTCGCTAGAACAGCTCCGTCCTACTCCACTTCCGAAACTTAAACGGGACATATCTGACTATTGTCATTTAAGTCCAACCATTCAATAAAAGAAGAAATGGGAAAACGAGAGATTTAAAGTTCGCGAGAAAAATGATCACAAGTTCACAAGCAACACCCAGTAGTAAAAGATCTTAGTCAGATCCGGAAAATAAGCCAAATCAGAACATCATAAAAGCTGTATGAAGTCACCTGTCGATTACACAAACACCTGAATTATTTTGACCCCTGAAGATTACACAATTATTTTGACCACAATAAGCTGCTATTTGAAGTCCCCACAGAAGAAATTAAAACGCCAAGGTCGTTAAACATGCAGGAATTTGAGCAAAAAATGATCTTTAATCAAGAATTGCACAGGATGTACATCGAAAGCAAGCGGACGAACAAAAGGCTCCGACTAGCTTTTCAAACAATCTCAACTCTAAGGCCCTATATTTTCCTACTTTTGAACCAAAAAAAAGGGAAGAAAGAAATGATCTATTCGAGCAGCCAAAACACAATTAAAATGCACTACTTCACGCAAATGCTGGCAGCACCCAAGTAGAAACTTACTGCCATCGATTGAATCTACAGCTTGGTTAAGCTAAACCGAAGATACTCATATGACAGCATTCTTAACCACCCTGCCCGCCCCCTAAAAGCCCCAAAACCTGCAGCTTTAATGGCATACACAGAGCGTTCTGATAACCCCTCAAATGTTAGAAGAGGCAGGAAAAGAAAGCAACTCAAAGGCACTGCAAAAAAATCCCTCAAGGCGCTGTAAAAATAAATACATCTACACAAAAGTGCCTTTGGCAGCCTTCACCATCGTGAGCAGCAAAATTGTGATAAATTAACATTTTCATATCAAGAAACTGCTTCCGCAAATTTACACCTACCACATCAAAAAATAAACAGATTACAAAATAAAATAGGAATAGGATTCTATTTGCAATGAAAGCATTCTATTTGCCCATACCTCGCTGTCTATGAAGACTTAAACGAATAATATTTACAGAAAAGAACCCTGCAAAATCAAAAATAACAAATATTATAATAAAGTGTTGTGCAGAACAAGAATCTTATTCTATATACTATACTTGGCATATACATTGGCACACATACCTGTTGACAAAATTATTTAACCAGGACAACTGGTTATAACAAGAAACATATAGGCAACAATAAAGTGATTGATCTCATCGTTTACTGAAATGCTATCTAAATACCAAGCTTCCATTTTGTTGATGTCTCAAATTTTCAATAAGCGACTGGTAAAATGATTTCAGCGCTTTGATATCGTTACCCTGGCAATAAAAGCACAGAACAATAGAAAGAAAAGTCAGCAGAAGTGGATTTATCCAACTATAATTCTTGCAGTTTGCATGCAGATACTTCAACAGAGATTTTATTGTGAAACTGGAGGAAGGAAACTGTATGTTTTCTACTTCCTCCAGTTCCTTAAACAATGTTTTTCGAAAAGACAGTCCTATGCAGGAAAATTCAATTCTAAAACTTAATTCAAAATGTCAAACAAAAAGTAGAATACCTGCAATTTCAGACAATACTGCTCAGCCAAATCTTGGGGGCAATGAGCACTTGGGAAGCCTTTTGATACAAAATGAACAAGAAAATCATTGCCAAATTTCTCATACATGACCTTCTGAGCCATTACAATCTCGCCAAAAAGAACAAGCTGCCATGGTAATCCAAAAGAAAAAGGAGATTAACTATGCAACCCAAGAAAATCAGACTCTTGCAATAATATAACTATAGCAAACAGCAAGTAGGATTTCGCAGTTTTACATAATGCGGCAATTGCCAAAAGAGCAACTAAATTGCTACAGCAGGAAGAAACAGAAGGATATATTCAATTTGCTACCAAATGCCAGTTCCAGAAGGAAAAAGCCACAAACATGCCGAAATCATATCAGCCCACATGAAAGCAAACTGATTCACAATAAAAGCAGAATATTCATATCAAAGCAGAACGCGCTAACATTATTGTGCCACAGCTGACAATAGGAATTTTTTAGACTAGTCAACACACCAACTTACCGTATTTGCATCACGGAATTCAAAGGATTTGTCGAGGACGCTGTACAGACAACAGTTTGTTGCAAAGGCTTCAATCACAAAACTTCGGAAACCAGGCACCTGGAACAGAGAAGACATTTTACATATCAGTCGCGGCACAAGCAATCTTTATTGTTGCAGTAGAGCTCAAAGACAGTTCACCTTTTCTTCGCCATAAGGTCTCGCGCACCAGTCTTTGATTAGTTTTATAAATATCTGTACACATGCCTGAATAAGAAAATGGTAAAGAATCAAGTTCCAACAAGTGGGATATAACATGTTTTAGTGAAGTTCCTGAACACCACTAAATAGCACAAGTAAATCAATGCTAAACTAACCTTACGAACAACGATATCCTTGTGATTACAGGATGCATGTAATACCAACTGCATCATCGGATCCAAGTAGACCCTACTTTTGGAGGAAAGAAAAGCTGATGACAGATCATGTGTAGCAATCACGTGAAGAAAAGTGTAAAACGTCCTCTGGAGCTCCTGTAGCTCTCGGATTTCCTGAGAGGAAGTACAGCTATCAAGAAAAGACGGTAAAGAAGACTATAAAAAGAAGCATCCTCAGTTCGAAAAGCAAATATAAAATCCAGGATATACATTTAGATGATAATAACCCAACCAGGATTACGGTCTGCAGAATTTTGAGCTTTCAGAAATTTCCTATACACTGGTCTTACCGTTCAAACAAAATGAAGGTGGATGCATACCAATCTAGTCAAAGATAACAATGGCAAGAAATCATGGACGAAGAATGCCAACGAATCTGATAGAGCTTGTTCGCATGAACAGTCATCAGTGGTAATCCAAATGGAAGCAGGACAGATAAGGAAGCTTACAGAGGTTAACCATATACTTAAGCAAGGGATTAGTAGGACTTGAAGATAGATGAGGAGAACAAAAAACAGGGACATAACAAGGGCAAAACAATTGGTACAATAGGAAATAGGGACATAACAAGGGAAGAACAATAGGTACTAGTTCTTAAAAGTGAATTGGTACTAGTTCTTAAAAGTGATGGGCTAACACGCTTGAAAATCAGCGTGAAGCGTGAAATTTGTAAATAGTAAATGAGCTGGGAATTAACTGGCCATGCATGTTAAAGTTCTCTTTTGACTGCCGATAACTCTGGTCTTGGACATGGTCGTGAAATGTTTGAGAAAATCCGCACTTAAGGTCCGTCTGCTAGAAAGTAACTGCACTTTTGGGGGTTCTCACGGGGACGGTAGCAATGGATTAGCCTTTGCGTTTCTTGATAAAAAAACTTGCTAATGGTTATCTCCACCCCCACCCCCCACCCCCACCCCCACACAAAATATTCCCAGGACGAGAAGTGAATAGCTATGTGCAAGCCATAGAAAAGATACAATCCATGCACAATTGGGCAAGGATGGCATGAGCTATTAACAACTGAGCATTTTAAAGAAAATGGAAACATGAAGCAGCAGCATCTGAATGAATTAAAACAGAAGATTTCAGAAAGAGTTACCACATCTTATTCTCTGGGTATTTATGCTGGTAATTTTCTTTTTCTTTTTTTTGATGAAGTAAGGTGTTATATTGCTGACATCAAGAAGATGCAAATCATTATGCTGGTAATTTTCTAAATGCAAAGGATGGATTCATAACCCAAACAGAAAATAAAGATAGGAAGGAGGAAGGTCTTGACTTGGAGAATGCATGGGCCCTCAACAAAAGGGAAGCTCTCACATGACGATGCAGGAAAGCAAGAAATGTTACACTAAAGAAACTTCACATACTTCTGTATTGCTACCAGGACCTGTAGGGAAAGCATCTCTTGGAAGGACATTAAATACTCTACTAGCAATAGCAGGGTAAACTTCCTCCAAAATGTCTCGAACTCCAGTGTTGAATTTGCAGATAAGCTGATTAAGCAACACCAAAAGGCCTGCCAGTTCTTTCGGCTGCATTGAGACACAAAAGAAAGTTATTCTCATGATAATGAGAACAGAAACACTTCAAATGCTGCTCAGAACAAAGTTACTTTAGCCATTTTACCGTCTGTTACAATCTCTTAAGTACCTCAATATTAAACATGTTAACATGGTTTAGCTTTACTTCAATATATCAAAATCATTTATATGACATTTGTAACAATACAATTGTTTGACGTTTTAGCCAACTCAGTTTTTAAGTTTTTCCGAAAATACTTCTGTTAAGTTTTATCAATTTAACTTTATGCATCTCCCCACTTGTGGGAAAATACTGGGCTTCTTCTTGTTGTTGTTGTTGTTGCATCTCAATAATGTTGTATTAGGTGATTATATACCATGCTAACCATCTATGAGATTTTTTACTTCCCAACATTTCCTAAGCTTGCCTCTGATTTAGGTTGAGAAATTCTGTAAAGCATAGTTGACCATAACCAAGAAATGCAAGTCTACCAATTTAAATCTTGCATTATCTTAAAATGCTAGAAAAATGTTATCTTGCAAAGAAAATTAATGAAAATGTTTATCCATAAAAAATTGATAAGGTAAAATGTTATCCATAAATTAAAGAAGGATCTATACATGGTACTCATTAAACAAGAAAAACTGTCTATTAAAGTGCCACAAAAAGTCATCCTGTGTGTGTGCAGGAGAAGAATGGAAACCTTACTAAATATTAAAATGCCATAAAGGATAAGTAGGAATTAGCCGTCACAATGCAAGGAAAGTGTTAGGAGATACAAAGGAGTTTACCATAATAGTGGGTTTACCCGTTTATCTACCTTAGTCATACTTGTTTACCCTAATCATGAATAAGGTCACATGGTGTATGATGCTATGTGTAGATGTATTGCATACATCAACGAGACTAGCTAGGGAGTCAGCCAAAAGCTTGAACTACGGAGATGCACCATAGAGAATAACGATTTCAGGATACATGGAAGTAAGACAGAACATATGCACTGCAAATTTAGCTAGCATAAGAATGAAGTTGAGGTGAAATTGAATGGGACTGTTATGTCCAAATGAAAAAAAATTAATCTACTCAGTGTTCCAGGAAGATGGTATAATAGATGAAGACGTAACAAACAGATTTAAAATAAGATAATTAAAATGGATGCAATGTTAAGAAAGAGTTATGTAATAGAGTGACACCCACCGAAGTGAAAGGTAGTCCTACAGAATAGTTTTAAGACCAGTAATGTAATATGGGAGTAACTATTGAGCCTTTTATCCACAAGATGACTATTGTAGAAATCTAAATGTTAAGCTGGATGCGATCATACAAGATTAGACAATATTAGAAATGAAATAGAACGCTTATTTGGTAAGAGTCAATTCATGTTATATTTTAGATGTTACTCCATCTCTTTTCATTTGTCCCCCGTATCCCTAAACTTGTCAGGAAGTAGTATTCAGCTCAATTACGATATAATTAGGATATCCAGCATCCGAAAAAAAATTAACTTTGACCTGCATTGGTAACATCGTAACGTTTCAAACTTTTATGGCATTGTTTGTGCACTCAAGCTAGAGTTCGTAACATTTCCAAATGAAACAAATTCTGTTACCTATAGTTTTCTTGCTGCAAATTCCATTTTACACAAGTTCAATAATAATTGGAATCACAAATAAAATTCTAATAAGGTCTTGAATAGTTAACTCTGCCTGAGTGAGCTTGCTCACATTGCCGGTTCCGATCCCAGATTAAGAAAGAGGGTTGCGGTAGGCTGGCAAGCAACGTAAATTAGCCAATTTCATGATGAATCTTCACAATAACTTTTCTAGGAGTTGTTTAGCATTTCAGAGATTTATACATCAGTACAAAATATAAAGAACTTCTAGTACTTTTTATGTTAACTATTACTATTAATTTATTTTTTTATATAATATTGGCCACAGATGATTTAAAATGGACTAACATCACTGGTGAGGATTCATATAGCCGACCCCAATTGCTTGGGACTGAAGCATAGTTGTTGTCGTTGAAAGTCTTTGCATAGATAAGGATTTTAGGAAGAGATTATCCTTTTCCTATGTCTAACTAACATATACGTCAAGGTCAGACAAAGCACAATGAAATTAGTCAAAGTTTAGTCAAAATGACAAAACGAATGAGCGCGATAAGATGAAAAAACTTCGATAGAGTTCAGAACATTCTAAACTTAGTCTAAAATATATACACCAGAAGCATAATGCATTAGCACTATTTTTTTTTTTTAAAGAATGAATTGTATTCAACCTTACCTTTTCTCAAAGAAAAATGCACAGCATTGGTCAATAGGTTTTTTTTATCGGTAGCATTGGTCAATAGTTTCCTCAATCAATGAGCCAGAAGGACTTAAAATTAAATTTTTTATGGGAGAAATGAAAGGTAACCTAACAACAACACACAGGTCCAATTGGTGACACATAATATATTAAAATAGCAATACACTTTTGAAAATATGCTTGGATATTGGTTTAAATGTATAATATTGACTTTACCTCACTTTCGGCTAACAATTGCTCCAGTGCCTTTGGTAGATATGGAAATACAGATGATCCTAGTATGTCCACCATACGGTGAATGAATGATGTGACCTACAGGAGTTAACACCATCCAAAAAAAAAAAGGAGCTAACATTTACATCACCAAAGGGGCATTGGATTGAGCAAGAATAATAAGAAACTGAATAGATACCTTGCACCGCAGAGGTTCTATCTTTGGAAATATGATAAGAATACGTAGGAGGACATCCAATGTCTGGACGAAAAAGAAATAAACATGATAAGAATTGACATAGAAAGGTAGTACTTTGATTAGGGCTTTATTTGACCACAAAAACAGATATTGTCTACTACAACAGGTGCACCAGAAAAATTAACAACACAAAATCGAAAGGGGAACCAAAAATCTGATATTAGTCAACTTATTTCTGAGAACCAAGTCAACAACCAAAATCCATTAAGTAAGACACCTGATCAGCCTCCTTAAATAGTGACACTAAAAAGGAGAATATTCAGGATTACAAAATGCACAATAGTTGACATGCCAATTGATAGTCAAGTGCGCCACAATGTATTGTCACCAGTAGTAAGCTCAAATAGACTAAAACAGAAAATGGAGTTCGGAATCAATGTAGAAGAGTAAGACAAAAACTCAAGCACCAATCAACCAACCTGTTTGAACATGAGACCGATTGCAGGGCGACTGGCAGTTACAAGACGCTCGCTAAACCCCTGGCATGCAGAAACACAGTGGTGAGGCAGGACGAACAGGCTACAAATGCTGTATCACCAATGCTAGAAACATAACATGGCAGTAAGCTGAGAAAGAAGGTAGAAATCCCAAGGAAAAAATTGTTCAAAGTCAGGTATTGTATTGTTGAAAATATATTGAGATCTTCTAGGACTTTTCATTTTTATTCTGTACAATGTTGAGGATTGATATATTAAACCTCAACTTGTTAGAAACTTATAGACTGAGGCGTAGTAGTAGTAGTTGTTGTTGTTCTGCATAATGTTGGCTAAGATGAATTTAAATGGAGAAATATGGTTAATGGGATTCATATAGCGAACCCCAACTTGTTTGGGACTGAGACGTAGTTATTGTTGTCAAGAGTCAGGAGTCAGGACTCAGGTATAGTCTTACTTAAGTAATTCTACAAATTCTGGATGCGGAAGAATGAAGGATGCAATATTAATGGCAGACAATGTAAGGCGAGACGAATTATTTTGAGTTGCTTATGTAAGGAGTTCGGAGAGGACAGTACACAAACCACATCATGTTGCATTGCAGCTTTACATCAAAAATATGGAACTTGGATTTATCTTTGTTTAACATTTCGCAGGATTTATAAAAAATCTGGCGGTGAAGCACTGTCAAATAGTATCTTATATAAGATTAGTGTAGAAAGGAACACAGCTTGAAGCGCACCAATATGTCATCTGTGGCTTATTTGGAACAAAGAAATACAGTTATCCATAATAGTGAAACATGTGTAACCAGTAATTAGAAGATCATTTTTTTTGTTTCCTTCATACTTTTGGTGCAAAAAGAGAATCCCAAGCAACTTTGTACATACTTTTGACACCGCCTTGTTGTGCTATTGATGAAATAATTTGATTTACCAGAAAGGAAATTATAAGAAGCCGCAGTGATTTCGATAGTACAAGTAAAAACCTTGCTCAGAGCATTAATGGCCATAATTATCTGCTGGATATTTGCGATCTTTGCCGGAGACTCTTCAGGATTCTGAGCTTTGGCATTTAAGAGCAACGCCTCAACCTGCTAAAAGTATTTACTGTCAATTCATCTAATTATTGTAAGCATGTGTCAAGAAATACTTGCATTCCACATTATACATGCAACCATACAATATGAACACCAAAGCCTCCAGATGAGTGCATACACATCCAGCTAATCGAACATCAAAAGAATATTCAATTTAGAGTTTTCTAGCTAATGAAATGACCTGTTGACAAAGAGGAGTAAGCAAGGCAGAGAGGAACTCGGATTGTTTTTCAAGTGGTACATCTTCCATTCCAATTAATAAGCCAATCGCCTACAAAACATTACCATTAAGGTGAGTTAAAGAAGTCAGGCAGCAAGTTGTAAAAAAAATCTGAAGCACATATGCTCAAACCATGTATGCACCTCAAAAATGTGACTACCATCTTCACAACCAGAAAGCTCCTTGGAGGAAGCATATATTGTTGTGAATTGAGCAACTGTATCTTGCAGACTCTGAATGAACATATAAAGTGAGGGTTTCAGAAACAGAATCCAAAGAAAAGAAAATGAAATATTCCCCATCCAGTGGAACTTGGGAGATGAATCAGAGGAAGGGGATGGGAAAATCAATACCTGTAGAATAGTCTCTAAGTAGGGTACAAGTTTTGCTTTGAGCAGTTTCACAACCCTCATGAAAAGATAACTTGCTCTTCGACTCACATTGCTATTCGGGTGATGTATGCCTCTTTCATCAAGAAAGGCGCTCAAAACCAAGGGAATGTATTGTGTATTCTCCTGGAAAAATTTCATATACCTCGTTACAGTTTCCAAGTAGATAAGTGCAACAAGCCTGTTGTTGTGGCAAGGAAACTTTGTCGACAAAAGCATTGGTATTAGTTCTCCCAAGAGACCATTTCCTGTTTTCATGGTTTCATCAGTAAGTGATTCCCCAAAGGCATATAGAAGAGAGAGTGCAGCTTCTATCTCCTCAACATCCACATCCCCATTAGATGCAACAGCACTAGCTAAGGAGTTCCTGATGAAAATCTGAGTTGCATCAGGTGCTACACGACCCACACTGCGAAGTAGAACAAACAAATCTTTCCTAAACTCAGCCATCCGATCTTCCTCTTCCCTCCCAATTTTGTCCAACACATCGAGGTTATTACGATAAGCAGGATCAAATCGGATCTGAGAACGGATCACTTCCAGTATCTGACCTACATGATGTGACTGTGTCTCAGTCAATGGAACCAGACTCTTCAATGTGCCAACATACCCAGAGAGGAACTGCACAATACTGAAGGTTTCATCAATTTCACAATTTTGCATTACATAGAAAACAGAGGGCAAAACCTCATTCAATAGTTCAGTCGAGACAGCTTTCCCATTCTCAGAGTTCAAACGCTTCAAACACTCCAAAACCTCAGTTGAATATCCAGTAAGCAAAGAAGCAACACTTGATACCAACTCGGAGTCATTATCCTCAGCTACCAAACTGAAAACCCTTCTTATCTGAAGGCTCTGCAAAAGAGTGAGTTTTGCTTTCGGATCCATACGCTTAGCAGCAACGGCATGGATGCAACCAGCAGCTGCACCTCTGAGTTGATCACGAAAACCACTCGCCAATGTCAACTCGAATAACAACCCAACAAACGTATCATTTGCTATCAAACCTATGTCGATCCACGAAACATACCTCCTCATAGAATCTAAAACACTACAACACAAATCCGGATCAGAATTCCTGTACATCAACAGGATGTCATACCAAGCCCTAACAACCTGAGAAATACACTGCTGCCTCATTGCGTCCTTAATTCGCCCCGAGACAGCTACCTCCTCTTGGCTTCTTGGATAGTCCATGCTAATTACTTCATCATCCAAGGCATTAAGAACTCGACAAAACATATCAATAACCACAACACCTTTACTAAGATTCGACAAAAAATCAACAAACACCGAGGGCCATATCATGGGATACTCGAAATAAATTAAAGTAACCATAACCTGAGCAAGCTTATTTTTAATAAAAGCCGGACCATCCAAAACCCTAACCAAGTTCTTATCATCAATACTCTCATAACAACCCAGCGAAAAAACAGATTTTCGAATAAAGGATTTCTCCTCTGGACCCATTGACGAATACCGGACCCGAAGGACCTCGTGTAAGCATTGTAAACACCAGAACTGAACTTGAACCAATTTAGAAAAACACAAACGCTCAATACATATACTACAAATTGATGGAGTTTCTTTAAATTGTTGGCAATAAGCAACAGCTTGTGCTTTAAGAGCAGAATCAACTGCTCCAGATTCATCAAAACTTATAAGTATTGCCTTTTCGAGATCATCCATTACTGTTTTTAAACCCTATAAACCCTAAATAAAATCTCAACGTTGATCAAGGATTATGAATGAAAATATCCAACTCTTCCTTTGAATCTGAGTAATAACTTAATAATGAATTTTATTAGATTCAATTAGAGCTTACAAAACGATAATTTATTGAGGAAAAAAAAAGAAGATATTTCGGGCCTTACCTCATATGATATGATTAGAATGAGAATGTAGGGCTAGGGTTTTAGAATGAGCAATGGAGGAAAAAAATTCAGGCCAAAGCTAGGGTTTCTAAATCAATCACTGAAAGCGAATTTTTTTTTTCTAATTTTTAAATTATATAAAAAAGACTGCGTAAGAGCAGAGACTGGAGTCTTTGAGACGGTTAAGAGATTAAAGAAGGAGAGGACGGAGGCTTTTGTGAGAGCTTCCTTTATATACTTCCCTTTCACTTGGCTATCAACTCTCGTTTCTCTTACCTTTTTTTATTCGGATTTTAATTTTTGGTTTTCTAATTATACTTTTCGATTATAATAAGGTTTAAAAGTTAGGAAATTTACTTTTACCTCCCAATAAGATTTCTTTTATTCTATTGTCCTTAAATTAAAAGGAAAGAAGGTAGTGACTTAGTGGGCGTTTGGACATAGGCATTGTAAAATTCTAAAAAAGTGAAAAAATTTAAGTAAAAATGAGATTTGAAAATTAGAGTTGTGTTTGGACATGAATATAATTTTGGGTTGTTCTTTAAGTTTTGTGAGCGATCTGAGTGAAAATTTTAAAAAACAACATTTTGGAGTTTTTCAAATTTTCGAAAAATTTCAAAATTCATCTTCAAGTGAAAATTAAAAAATGTATGGCGAAACACTGATTTCGAAAAAATAAAAAAAAAGTAAAATAAATTCTTATGTCCAAACGGGCTCTTAGTGTATTATCGTGTACTCCAATCAAACTTTTAGCCAACATGAATGATTTTCCTAAATATTAATTGACTGGATTTTCTATAAAACGGAAGAAATTACAATAGTATAAGAAGTTAAACCATTAGTTATTGTGTCCAGATTTCAATATTAATGATTAATCACAAAACTAAAACATTATTTAGATTTCAGCATGTTCAGAATATCTTGCTATCTTGCATTGATAATTAATTTCCAATCATGTGAATCGCTATAAGAAAAGAAGTTAATAAATTAAAAAAAAGAAAAATTTCATTTATGCTACCATAACAATAAAAACAACAATAATAACATACCAGTATAATCTCGCATAATGGGGTTTGAAAAAATAGTGTGTACGCAGATTTTACCCCTATAGTGCATAAGTTTTTTCCAATTGACCGACTCAGGAAAGCATTAATGAAAAGAAATACAATTGATTGGCACTTTCAACATAATAAACTTAGTACAACAAGAAGCTACCATAACATTCTCTCTCTATACATATATATAAAGTTGGGAATAGAAAAAGTGATGTGGTTCTTTAATGCTAGGATTAGCCTACTTATATCTTCCTTAAATGTGTTTCATTATTTTGCCACACCAAGAGGTCGTAACATATGAGTTACAATATGTTTTAAATTTAGAAATTCCATTGTCACTATGTAAAAATAGTTAGTGACAATTCACCCTTGGTTGATAGACAGAGATGGAATTAGCTATATTCACATGTGGTCATGGGCAGCAGAGAAGGCGGAGAAGAGAATAAGATAGCGGCTTGATTTATTTTATCGGGTATGTCTGTTTGGTTCTTTCTTTGGATACGAGCAGTTAATTATTTTATCATTGTTTTCTTCTCATGAGTCATAAATTCCATATTGTAGTGTCAATACAATGTTTGTTCTGAAATCACGATTAACGCGATAAATTTATATATAGAGAGAGAGATATAAAGTTGAGAATAGAAAAAGTGATGTGGCACTCTCTAATGCTAGGATTCCTATTTATCTATTCCCTCACTTTTTTTGGCCTTTTTCGCTTAGTTTCCCTTAAAAATATGGAAGAAAAATAGAAATACCCTACTTATGTCTTCTTTAAATGTGTTTTATTAGTTTCTTTCCTCATTATTTTGGCCACACCAAGAGGTTGTAACGTACGAGTTACAATATGTTTTAAACTTAGGAACTCAATTGTCACTCTATATATATATAAAACCTCCTATGTGAAAATGGTAAATAACAATTCACCCTTAGTTGATAGACAGAGATGGAATTAGGTGGATTCACGTGTGGTCATGGGCGGTAGAGAAGGCGGAGAAGAGAATAAGATGGCGGCTTGATTTATTTTATCGGGTATGTCTGTCTGGTTTTTTCTTTGGACACAAGCAGTTAATTATTTTGTCATTGTTTTCTTCCCCTGAGGAATAAATTCCATATTGTAGTGTCAATACAATATTTTTCAAATCACGACTAACACAATATATATATATATATATATATATATATATATATATGAAATTATAATGGATTGCCAAAATAATCGATATAATTAAGATTTAGCAATAGCTAATTTCGTCATCATTAGTTAAAGTTATTAGAATATTTACATCTCTTTTTTCTATTTTTTGATGTAATATGTTTATAAATCCCATTGATAAACATATTACTTAAATTGAGGATAATATTTATTTGTTTGGGCGGTTCTAAAAGTTGAGTAATTACAAAAAAAAAAAAAAAAAATCAACTAGAAGTACACATATCTCTTTGATCATCAATAGTATTTATCTTCTATATTTTTATTCTATGTTGACATGTTTAGGATTTTTTTTTTTTTGGTTTTGAAGTAACTCATTGAATTCTATCCACAGCTTAAGTCTGAAATCCCTCCACAATTTTAATATAACTGATTTCTCTCATTTTTTTTATTTTTCATTTACTTTTCTTTAAGAAGTATTTTCCAAATGTCTCAAATATAATTACAAATAAATACCACTTACAAAATTATATATGTATCTTCTATATTTTTATTTTATGTTGACATGCTTCGATTTTTTTAAACGACTCATTGCACTCTACCCGCATCTTAATTGTGAAATCCCTGTACAATTTAATCTGACTGATTTCTCTCTCTTTTTTTCATTTTGCATTTACTTTTTCCTTAAGAAATATTTTCCAAATATCTCAAATACAGTTACAAATAAATACCACCTACAAAATTATATATGTATAATAATTATAAATTTCGTGTACATATATGTATAATAATTATTTATGAGAGAAGATCGTAACTCTTTAATTATAAATACTATTTACATCTAAATAAAATTACTTATAGATATTAATTATTTACAATATTTTATTATGAACAAACAAAACGTTGGACTTATGTAACATATTTGTTTTCTCTCCAAATTAAGCGTTGGCTCATCTTTCTCAATTGAAAGGACTTTACTCAAGAACTTTATTGTTGTAATTCGACAAAAAGGTATATGATTTTTCTTATTTTGGATTTATTTTCTGTTATCTATTCACATGTATTTTTTTCCTTATACATTTGTTTTTATTTGTAATTTTTCCTTGTGAGTGTCTTACATTATATATTTATTTCAAAATTCAATCTCTTATTTCTTCCGAGCATAGACAAGATAACTTGGCACTTCTTTTTGGCCAAAGATCCTATTTATCGTTTTTCTCAAAGTTTTGCATTTTTCTCTTAATTTTCTATTTATCATATTGCAAGAGTAAATGTGGTAATATTACTACTCCACTCATTCCTATTCTTATTGTAAAATAGACGTTACAATCTCAACATTTACTACTCCAGTCTTTCCTATTCTTTATTGTAAGAAAACGTTACAATCTCAATATTTACTACTCCACTCATTTTTATTCTTTATTTTAAAAAATTTAAATTCTAAATATATTTACTACCCAACCTTTCATATTCCCTTAGTGAAAAAGAATGATATGAAAATATACAACATGGAGTAGTCCTTTGGATATCATTTTAGGTACAGTTGGGAAGGGTTCTAAGTCAATAGAAGAATTCAGAGAAGTTAGACTTTGCTCCCTAAAAAACAGTGGATTCTTCGATCTTCCCATCCTTATAATTCCAGCAATTTTTGTATGTAAGATTTCTAGATTTATAGATTGTTATCATGTGTGTGCATACCCGTAACAAAAACACTTACTAATCCAGCTTTACATTCAATTTCATGAATATTTTATATAGTGTTCAGCTAATTTCTGTTGGCAAATGTAGAAGTGTGGGGAAGGGGAAAAAAATAAAAATGGAAAATGAGTTTTGGGAAAGAACGGGAGGGGGGTGCAGGATTGGGGGGGGGGGGGGGGGAACAGGAAGTGGAAGAAAAAAATAGAAATGGGAGACGGGTTTTGGGGAAGAACGGGAAGGGGAAGAAAGAGAAAAAGAAATAGAAATGGGAGATGGGTTTTGTGGAAGAACGGGAAGGGGGTTAGTTTACTTTCTTTAAATTTTACTGTTTTTTCATTTTATTATTTTTTTCTCCTTAGTTCTTTTTTTTTTGAAAACAAGAAATACATTATATAATACTATTAAGGGTAATTACAAGGAGGTGTCCTTGAAGGAATATGATCTTGATTAACCAGGGGAGAACTAGTTACTGGGTACTAACTACTAAGTTAAGGCTTGTATGGGAATGTAGAGTTGAGGTAGTTGTTACATTAACATTGGTGTTAATAGTAGTTGTAGTAGTAGTGGCAGAGATATCAAAAAGTACAAAGTCCTTCAGCGCTTCTCGCATTTGCAAAAACATGGCTGAGAAGTTGACATTGGCTCGGGTTGATGCTTGCTTTGCGAGTTCGTGTGCCACTCGATTGCCTTCACGGTAGATGTGTTGGATTGGTGGATTCCCCAACTTCCTCATCCAATACCTACAATCAAAGATAATGTTAGTGTGAGGATTATACGTATCCGAGTCTAGAAGGTCTATGATGTTGGTATTATCCGTTTCAATCACAAGGTTCGTCCAATTATTATCCATAGCTAATTGAAGTCCATGTTTTAGAGCATGAGTTCCACGGCAATCGGGGTAGGGCCCAGTATGACCTTACTATAACCAAGAATCCATTGTCCTTGGGCATCTCTGAATATTCCTCAAATACCACCTATTGAGTATTTGTTGCGGAAGGAGCCATCAATATTAACTTAATATGATTAGTAGGAGGGGGATGCCAGCGTGTATTGGATCGTGCTGTATTAGGAGGGCTGATTGCACAGTGCTTATATTCTAGGGCTCGTGCATAGACGAGATGACTGGAGAGGATGTTGTTGTTACGGTTGAAGATATTGTTATTCCTAGTATTCCATAAAAGCCACAGAGCAAAGGGTAGGAACTCTTCCCAGGTTAAGGAGAGATTTGGGATAGGGTGGGAAGTCTGCCTTAAAACATTGGGCCAGTGTGTGTTAATATTTAGGGTGTTAGTG